AAATAAAACGCACGGATTAAAAATTCCGTGGAAATTTGAACAGGTTTCCACTGTGTCTCGAAACATTCGCGTTAATACCGAGCAACGATTCTCTTTCGGTGTCCAGTTTCCACGAGAAATTATCGACAAAACTAAATGTTCGAACCTGCATCACAGCGACCACACCTTGCCTAGATGAAAATTGACGTTAGTGTTGTGTAGACACTATCTATCAGTCTAAATCGCGCCTTAGATTTAAGCATTACCCGATAACCAATGACTTCATCCTTTCCTTACCACTCATCCTCGAACCTCGACTGACTAACTCTGTCTCACCCTCGGTATACCTAAACCCCTACGAATCCTAACTCCCACTCCTCAAGATACGATCATGTACATATGTATTAAGTCCTTCCTCAAAATCCTTAAATTTTTAGTGCTTCTTATTGAGGACCTTTAATTTGCGAATAAAGATTGACTCAATCGACTGCAGAGAAAAAAAACGTTTATTGATATAAATGTAATACACAACAGCGGAGGCGAAAACCCGAGTGAAAAGCAGGTACAGTAAATTCTCTACAAGTGTCAGTCAGTTTGGATTCTACAAGTGTCAGTATAGATGGTCCTACGCCTAGGCTGCGTCATTGCTGCGCCCATGTTATCTCGCTCGCTGTCAGTCAAGCGTGTAACGCTGCACCACTCGGTTTCTTTTACGAGATTTCACGGTTCGACAATTCATGATAGAAAAATATAATTTCTTTAATTTCTGTCTTTCCATTTATTTCGTTCCATTAACAGTGCCGTGAGATTTTTCTGATGAAAATGATATCAAACACGATATAATTTGAACATTCACTGTCATTTTCATCAGAAAACTTTCATCAATATGTTAAGAAAAATTTCGGGATAAAAAAACGTAAAATTTAAAAAGTTGGTATTTAAGTCGCTTGGTTGCCTCGACTCACGTTTCATCCTTATCTTTTATTCGCTGTCCTTGTCTACGTTTGGCAAACTACAAAGGCGAGCGCAAGGCTCGGAAACGTAGTCCCTGACTCTACAAGTGTCAGGTTTAGGTTCCTTGCGGACGGACATTTGTGGAGAATTTACTGTACTCAGTTCGGGGTTGTCGCACGACTACTTAAAATGCGGAAGAACATTTGTTATATACTCGGCATCGCCCCACGGTCAACGGACCTATGGCTTTTATGGCCCGGTCTGGGCCTACGTTGAGCAGAGAAACTCGCAGTAGGAAAAGTAAAAATTCAAAATATAATCTATTCTCAATACTTCTACCATTACGCGCGCAATTCTGTAAGACTACTGTTTAATCCGCTGATAATACTGTGGCGGGTACGCCACTGCCAACAAGCCCTTACCAAACCTTGTTCCATTCTTCTTTCCCATTTCCAACTCTTTCAAGTTTTTAGTTTCTCTCGTCTCTCCCCGGGTTAAGATTCTCGCCTTCGTCCTCGAGTAGCCTAAGAAGCGCACATGTGCCACCCAGGTTTGCACGAGGACGAACGGCCCTGTTTTCTACAAATTTTCTTCCTCTACTCCTGCCTTTCTGTCCTACCAATGTAAAAACCCAGCACACCTACACCCCGGTTCAGTTTTTCTTCTGCCCATAGTCGAGACGTACCCGCCGAACCTCCGCCACAGAGTCCGTTACACGCGTGAAACAATTGTACTCTCCCGGCGGATTGTACACCTACCATCGTCACGATCGCTCTCAATAAATCGAGGGGTGAAAACAGCGAAACGGCGTTCCTTCACCCACCTCAATACCCTACTTTGCTAACGCGTCTCCATTCCGTGATATTTCTACGATTCACTTAATCAACGACCAGTACGCGGAACACAACATTAAAGAACTCGTGTCCTTTACTCCCACATCGCTACACAAGCTATCAAAATTATTAACTGCCCTGCAGCAGCTGTATCTGGGGATGCATTCGGCGCGATTCAAAGGAGAAACGTGGGTGGGAAAAATGCATCGCGAAAGATCGCTGTACACACATCATGAAGACTGAAGAAAGAAACACTAGATAGAGAAAATTACTATCCTCCAGGCATAAATGATCGCAATGGACGTCCGTCGAGCTTGGAATAATTGTGGATCCGTTAATAAGCGTGCGTCGAATTACGCGAGACTGAAGAAAGAAACACTAGATAGAGGAAATTACTATCCTCCAGGCATAAATGATCACAATGGACGTCCGTCGAGCTTGGAATAATTGTGGATCCGTTAATAAGCGTGCGTCGAATTACGCATTTCACCGACAGGCGCGCGTCATCCGAATTGCGTAACACGTATGCCGAATGCATTCTATTGGGTTGGCAACTAAATGAATGCGGATTTTGTCGATAGATGGTTTTAGCACATTCTTTTGTTTTGTCAACGTGTTCAAAGCACCTAACCTATATTGTTTTCTTGTTGTTTGGACTTCCACCTTTAATTAGTAAGAAAATTGTATCGATTAGTTATTTAGTTTCGTTTTCATCCTAATTTAAATATGGAAGAACAAAACGCGCATTTCAGACATATTTTATTGTATTATTTCCGAAAAGGCAGGAACGCATCGCAAGCATACAAGAAGTTATGTGCCGTATATGGGAATGAAGCCTTGAAAGAAAGGCAGTGTCAAAATTGGTTTGCCATTTTTTTTTTTTACGTTCAACAACTCACCAAACTGAGCGATGCAGTTCAAGAAAAGCGGCCAGAATTGGCAAATCGCAAGGGTATTGTTTTCCAACATGATAATGCAAAGCCCCACACATCTTTGGTCACTCGCCAAAAATTATTGGAGCTAGGTTGGGATGTGTTGTTACATCCACCATATAGCCCTGACCTTGCGCCTTCAGATTTCCATTTATTTCGTTCCATGCAGAACTCCTTAAATGGTCAAATTTTTAATGACGCTGACGATGTAAAATCTCATTTAATTCAGTTTCTTGCTGGGAAAAATCAGAAGTTTTATGACACTGCCTGAAAGATGGCGAAAGGTCATCGACAAAAACGGACAATACCTAATTTAATAAAGTTATATTTTCAAGTAAAAATTTTGAATTTTCCTTCTTATTTAAAATCCGCAATCACTCAATTGCCAACCCAATAGTATCGTCGTTTATCAGAACAAGCCAGGAAGTCCGTTCACCCGTATTTCGGGCTGCACGCGGTGATAAAACAGTTAGCCGACGCGAAATTATTGAAATTCATACCACGCTGCATCTGCCGCAAGCTCTGCCATCGAACAAAGGACATTTTATCAACCTCGTTCAACCACGCATTTTTGATCATGCTCGCGCGTGTTTTCGCGCTGCTTTGAAACAAAGCCACTCAAAAGTTTAACGATGTTCTCCCAACTTTCTTCAATTTAGCGCACCGTATCTCCGCGTTTCATTATATCTGCCTTTCGACGTGGTATAATTGTCTATTCTTTCCTATTTTTTTCTATTGTCTTCATATCGAACTACCGAAGAGTACTCTAGCGGCGAGCAGGCTCGCAAAGAGGAAGTGGAAAATTGCGTTCGTTTTCACAGAGGGAGACGTTCAAGTATAGAGCGAGTGCGAATGTTGTCCGTCCACGCAAATTGAGGCCATTTGTTTCATTGTCAGATAATTTGCTCGTCTTGTTTCTCTTCTGTGCTCGGAAGCGAAGTTTCCACTCGACATTTTTCGTCAATGGAAGCATAGGATCGCGTGATTCTCGTGAAAAAAAAATGCTTCTACACATGTTACCGAGGAAATAACGCCTCTAAATTCCTAACAGAAACTATACGTTTCCTTCTTCTCTCGACGTCGCTAAAGTAATTTTGCTAACAATACGCAGCTCGATTTAGGTCGTTTTAGTTCACGTTAATCGAGCCTCCTAGCCATTATTTTCAAAGATTTCGACTCGATCCCGGGAAAATACGGGCTTCCGTCTTCGTGCACCATGTCTTCGTAATTCTCTTCAACCAGAGTCTCGAAGCCGCATCGTTCGGCCAATTTTTGAGAAATTGGAGATGTGAATCCTGTGGATGTTACTGCAATGTTGTACTCGCGACCTATGTCCACCCTGCGACAAGAGTTATCCACGTTTCACACCGAAAACGAGCGAATCTGGAGCGAATATGGATGGCAAGAACGAGAAGAGCAGGAAACATACGAGAACTTATGAAAGGATTATCGAAATATGGTCTAGTGTACCTGGTATTTAAAAGATAAGCGCCTAGAGCAGCTCCTCGATAAGACGGATGCACAGATAGACCATAAGCGTTCATGTATTTATTCACTCCGTACTTATCGAACACGTTCGCCTTTTTACACAAATTTGTCAGAACTTCCATCAGAATTCTGCCCTGTTTCGACTGAAAATCGTTGGAAATTTGCATTGTGCGTGCCGTAACAATTGGAAAACTGAGAAACGAGTGAAAAGATTACCTTGACCGTGTTAGGATCCGTTTCTTTACCCTCGAAAGTCAACGTGAGGACGTTGACTCCAGCTAGAATCGGTTTGCCACCGTTTGGATGATCCGTGAACGCCGCCACGGCTAAACCGTCCTTCAAACACTCCCTCCAAAGCTGCCTGAACCCATCCACGTACTCCGGATCGTTTTGTCCATCTGAAAAAAGCAAGAACGCTAGGATTTTTGCTGGTTCGATGGTTCGATTGAAAGTGCCTGCATAGTTTCGTCGCATCATTGCGCTCGTTCACGTGTTTTTCGACGTGTTTCTATCGTTAGACGGTAATCGCGTGCTCTCCACTCGTGTGTGCTTCCAGTGTGAAAAGATTAACGTTATCTGATAATTAACAGCGGGAGCTGTTGGCGGTTGTATCGTCGAAGCTCTCCACTGGAGGAAGATGTGAAATGCGGCGAAATAAAAGAGAAATACTAGAGCTGGGATGAAAGGGTTTCGCGCGCATTAATGGACGGCGACGTAACTTTTACGACGAACGCGAGCTGTTTTCGACGCTGCTATTTTGCACTCGGTTTCCCCCGCATCTCTGAACCCCCTTCGAAATAAACTTCACGGTCCTCTTTGTGGCGGGAAGAAAAATACGAGCGAGGAATTTTAAACGTTTGATAATTTAAAGAAAAAAAGAAGAAAGTATTCCGAACAAAAGGGTTAATTTTTTGTTTTGCATGTGTATCAGATAAGCTCGTGGCACATGCTATTATGTAGTCAATGTATCAGAATTATCTGACGTTTCGACGATAATCGTTTTTGTGTTTCGATGCATTAGCTCGTTTGTTACTTCTCCTCGTCGTTATTGACGTTAAAAGTAACGACAAACATTAGGGAATATAGTCTGAAAAATAGCTTACTTATGCATTTGCACATTGGCTCGTCGGCTATGAAATAGGTACACATGTGTTCCACCACTTCCTCGTACCTGTCCTCAGGTATCTCTTGAATCGTGAATTTGATCGGTTTCTCCTCGTTCTTTTTCTTCAACTCGACAACCTTCCATACTTTCGGCGGTCCTGATCGTTTCGTCGGTAACTTGCACACTTGACTCATTCTCTCGATTTTCGCGGAAAAATTGACGTGTCAGGAAAAATTGCAACGATCAAAGAGTTGATTGCACAGAGAGAAGATAGCACTCGGAGATAGCTATTAACGACCACTTCGCGCTATTACTGTTACTATGTCAAACTCTTCCAACTGAATGACCGATGATGGATTGTGTAACGCTACAGTTGTCTGTTATCATGCACGGTGGTTGTCATTCTGCTACGAACTACGACGGTGACCGTCCGCAAAGGATCTCTCCTACGTTCCTAGTACCCTCCAAGATTTTCTGTCAACGTCGATATTTCCCTTCGCATTCAAGAGAACTTCCCATTAAAAGAGGAGTATAAAAGGAGGTGCATGCGGTTTATCGGACAGTAGGACGAACAGCTTTGCATTGAGAACAACTCAGTGCTGGTAAAAGTTCTTGAAAAAATGAAGTGACCTGAAGATAACTAATAGATATTCGATTATAGAAAATTGTGCATTTGTGCACGCATTTGAAGTTTGGAAAAGTGTCATCGTCCTTGACAAAATATTACTCTAATCTTGATAATCTTATATTTGTACAATGGCTTTTTCTACGCGGATATCGTATCTAACGATGGCGCAGGAGAATATAGTATTTTTTCGCGATAAGAAATTGTGAAGTTTCTCTGCGCTATTTTTTTCTTGTCGTAACGTTCGCACGATAAATTAGAATAAATAATTCAACGTGTACGTTTCATCGAATTAATTCTATTGCGACTTTCTCACGGTTGATTCACCGTGCTAACAAGTGCGTTTGTCGGCGTTGAAACGCACTCGCAAAAATACTTCCACGGTTGACAAAATAAATTTTGTTTGGTATTTTTTTTTTTCGCGTGTCATCTGTAGGTGCTCGTTAGCCGCTGTTTCATAGGAAACTGACTGTGTCATCCGGAGTAGAAACGAATAAATTATCTTCGTTACAGTTGCTTATCACTGAATGAACACGCAACATTTTTTATATTTCTTGTGTTTAAAGTTGGTGTGGGAAAAAAATTTGCGAAATTCGTCGCGTCCTGGCTTTAATATTTCAGCGACGTCGATCGTAATTCTGGTTCTCTTGGAACTTCCGTTCTATAATTATCGTAATTCCATTTTAACCAGTCACTATTGTTTGCTTCGGTGACGCTCATTTTTTCGCTCATCGTTTGATAGCATTTGCACAACGCGAAGAATAATCGCGAAATGAGGAAAGATATCAAGCCTATATTAAGAATTTACGCGATTCGAAATAATTCACGTGAAAACAAAACTATTGTTAGGAAAACGGTATATTTTATTATCTCATTCGTTAGATACATTTTAGATACAAATGTTTACACAGGTACAGATCGACTTTTATTTATATCAAATGAACAGGTCCGTTTACACTGTATCTTTTTCTACGAAATCTGTATTAAAGTCATAATCATCGGTAGCCTTGATGTTGAATCCTCCCAGTTGATCCGCCAACTTACAAGCTGCTTTTTCTGTGAAATTAGAATGGTGGAATATGGGAATAAAATTTTGTGGGAAAAGATAATTTTTTTAAAAAGATATTGTTACCTTGTCTAACACGATTCTTCTTCTCTTTTTTAAACAGCATTTTATTAAGTTTATTTATTTTCTGATTACCCTCGATTTCAGAAAGTGGATCCACTTTCTTTTTCCTTGTCTCGTCCGACTTCTTTTTTGCGTTTTCCACTTTTTTCTTCAACTTGTTCTGTACTTTAATTACTTGCTGTAAAATAATATTTCCACGTATAATTGTTATGTTATGAAAAAAAAACTGATTGCACGTACGTATACAAGTTGACTTACCGCTTCCTTCTGCAATTCAACCTCCATAGCCGAGACAACTGGACCAGAACTTTCGATTGAAAATGGTTCGGTAACTCTCTTCGCGACATTTTCTTTTTCGAAAGTATCGAGCATCATTTTTTCTTGTTCGGCAAGACTTTCAATGTCGAATTCCTTACTCATTTGGCTTACAATTTCTGCGGATACGTGACAATCTGGTTGCTCCGGAGGAACGGTATAATACCTGTGAGACAAAAATAGATCTTTAGATCGCTGATAGATTGTAACATTCGACGCTTCGTAGTTACCTGATTTTTCCAGAATTCCAATCTTCCAAAACACTGCGAGCTGCTGTCAACGTATCGGGTACACCCATTTTTTTAAATTTCCCCATTCTAATAGCTTTATAGGCAAAGAATTCCTCCGGTGTTGAAAAGTCTTCTATGGCATACATTTCCCTTAATATTTCCTTGGAAACTCTCTTTATAACAGCAGTTGCTGGCGTGAATGGATCTCTCAAAGACTGAATTTTTATTGCATTTTTTAAAGCTATCGAAGATTCATTGGCGTTTTCTTCAGAACTAGCAAAAACGATTCCTGGAGAGTCTAGTAATTTTATTTTAGAATCCAATTGCACTGCTTGCATAGTTCTTGTAACTCCTGAAACACAGAAATTATACGATGCAAAAGAAAAAAAAACATCGGTAAATCTACTAATATAAAGTACTATTTTATAACATACCCGGAATACTTCCCACGCTACATACTTTACTACGAGCTAAAGAATTAATAACGCTAGATTTGCCAACATTTGGCAATCCAACAACTCCCACCCTAATACTAGTTTTTTTATTTCCAATATTTCTGCAATAATTTCCAAGTAGCGATAACAATAGTTCGGCACCGTAACAAATACGACTTCGTATCATATCTTCTTTCCTCCTTCCTAATTTCTTTCTACCCAATCTGCAAACTTGAGCTTGCGTGGAAGCTTTAAATGGAACAGCTGGTAAACTACCACGTATGTACTTTAACCACTGATCTAAATTTTCTCTGGGTACTAAATCTGCCTTGTTCAAAACAATGACCAATTTCTTATTTCCTTTTGCAGACTGTACAGCTTCTTCAACCTATGATTTAATTAAATCATTTAATATGTTCCTGTTAACTCAAATATAATTGATCATACCTCTTTACATCTAGTTCCCAAAGGATCCCTAGCATCAACAACTTCAAGAATAACATCAGCTGCATCCAACACATTTTTGAATTCTTTGTAGTAAGCTTTCAATGAATTTTCTTTCTTATTCATAGCCTCCCTTATCCTCTCATGTACCGTATCAACTTCCATTCCTTGATGTGCTGCTTGTTTGAGCTCTGCAGTTGAAACTAATCCCTGAAGACCTGTCTTAGCAAGTTCTTCTTTCTTCTGTTCGCGTGAAGCTTCGCGCGCAGCTGCGCGTCTCTTGAGTTTCTCTTCCTCATTTTGCTTTTTCATGGCCTCTACTTCCTTCAAAATATCTTCTTTAAAAGGGCATTGATTTGGAACTTCGATCACTTTTTGTTTTTCTACAAAATGAAATCAGACGATTGATATATCTTCGAGGTAACGATAAATTTATAGGTTAGGTTCGGTTAGGTACAATATTTACTTTTATGCATCTGTTTTTTAGCTACTTTTCTTATTTTTCGATTGTGTTCTCGGACTTTTTTCTCAATTTTATACCTCTTACTAGCCGGCATGCGCTTGCTCGGTTTTTCTGTAACAAATAAAATATTCATAAAACCAATTCAGAAAAAACATAACCTAAAAACGTAACATGGGTTACACATAAAACGTATTAAGATAATCCTACTTTTAACTTACTTAAGCAAAACTTCGCCATTGTTTTTAATTTTTTATTCTAATTATTAACACTTGTCTATATAATAAAGTTAAACAGATTATTAGATAAGTGGAGTACACTTTAAAATATCACATGCACACACTGTACCCACAATGAAAGAAAAGGTTAAGATCCAGTGTGGCCAACATGAAAATCCGTAAACCATATCGAATGCAGTGCGTGTAGAAAATTAGAACTGTTTAATTTATTTTTGTAAAAACACGAATCCCGATATTTCTTCAGGATTGCAATTATTATTAAACAGTTTTAATTTGTTAAGAGCAAGCGATGTGAGAAATTTTGTATCGAATCGTTGACGAATGTAATAGGAACAAAAAAATAAAATAGTCAAAGTCGAAATTCAAAATATTTATTCGTAAGAATTTGATTATCGCGAGTATCAGGAGTGACGAATGAGATGGAAACTAACGGCGTCGTTGACACGAGTAAAATGGTATGTAGAAATTTAAGTATCTTTATGAGAAACTGAAAATTGTTGAAAGACAGTGAAAGGTGTGCTTGTATGCATATGAGAATTCTCACACTTTCATTCCGGCTCGCAAAAAGTGGTTGTTTAACGGCGTAGAGACGAGATCGCGATGGTAAGGTCGGAATGGAAATTCTCATAAATTATTTCGTGCCGTGAAATCGTTGTTTCGTACATTTTCATTGAACAAGTGATACAATTTCTCTATTCTTATTCTCACGGTGTTACTTTCATAATAACAACGCCGTTCTTACACCAAACTAAACGAAATGCCATTGAGATATTTTGGCGGGAAATGATATTCTTGTTTCCATGGTAATAAAAAATATCCATCTTTCGAGCAAAACAAACTTATATCGC